GTTGAAAAACAAGGGAGTTATAGCCATTTACAATTTTAGCCAATAAGACTGCAGCGCACGAGCATGCGCGTGTTTTCACGATAATTGTTATATATAATATTGTAGTACATCCTAAAGTATGTATATATTTTAGATTTCATAGCATTTCGTCAAAAAACAGAAAAAATATTGAGATTTCTGTTTCAGCCAATCAGAACGAAGCGCACATGCACGCACGTGCCTGTATGTGCATGATGTCCATACCTTCTTGTAGGGGTCCATAATATGTGTCTATGTTCTAAATCCCATCCTGTTTGGATGAAAAACAAGGGAGTTATAGCCATTTCAAGTTTAAGCCAATCAGATTGCAGCACACGTGCATGCGCGTGTTTTCAAGACAATTGTTATATATCATATGGTAGAACATCCTAAAGTATGCCTATATTTTAAATTTCATATCATTTCGTCAAAAAACAGAAAAGATATTGGGATTTTTGTTTCAGCCAATCAGAGCGAAGCGCACGTGCATGCACGTGAGTTCGTGCTAATTTGACAGTGTCACATTATCTACACTATTAATATATCTTTATATAATGAGTTTCAAATCATTTCATTAAAAAATGTAAAAGTTATAGCTATATTAAGTATATCAGTCATTTCACTCATATCACGCGCACGCACGTGCATGCGTATGCGCGCAAAATGACCTTCGTTCCGCACACCTACACTACACACCTATTAACCCTAAAAAGGTTTTAGCTCAGTTGGGTGAACAGTTTCTGAGAACACTCGCGGACAAAAAAGTACCGGAGAACAAAGAAGAAAAAAAAGAATAATAATAATAATAACTAGTGCTAATTGTAACGGGAACCGTTACAGATGTTCCCCAAACGCTCCCCAACTCCCTTTTGGTGCCATATTCCCTGTAAGCCTTATTAAATAGGACACCATCTGTGCATTTTTTACTTTAACAATGTTTTCCCAAAAGGATACCAATTATATTCAAATTTTAACATTGCACGCCTGCCCATGTGAATGCACGTGCGTAGTGATTATATAATCTTGTCTACACTTTCTATATATTTAAATGTACGTTACATATTAAAGCATTTAGTCAAAAAGTATTAAAAATCACTAATTCAAGTGTATTTTTAATTTCACTCATTCCAAGTGCACGCATGTGCGTGCACGTGCATTATTGACCATACCTTCTTGTAGGAGGCCCTTATATATATATATATATCTATGTTCTAAATCCAATCCTGTTTGGTTGAAAACCAAGGGAATTATAGCCATTTCAAGTTTCAGCCAATCAGATTGCAGCACACGTGCATCCACGTGATTTCTTGAATTTTTTTCTAAATCATATTGTAGAATATCCTAATGCATGACTATGTTTCAGATTTCAAAGCATTTCGTCAAAAAACAAAGGAGATATAGCCATTTAAAGTTTCAGCCAATCAGATTGCAGCACACGTGCATGCGCGTGATTTCTTGAAATTTTTTGTATATCATATTGCAGGATATCCTAATGCATGACTATGCTTTAAATTTCAAAGCATTTTGTCAAAAAACAAAGGAGATGTAGCCATTTAAAGTTTCAGCCAATCAGATTGCAGCACACGTGCATGCGCGTGATTTCTTGAATTTTTTTGGATATTATATTTCAGGATATCCTAATGCATGACTATGTTTTAAATTTCAAAGCATTTCGTCAAAAAACAAAGGAGATATAGCAATTTAAAGTTTCAGCCAATCAGATTGCAGCGCACGTGCATGCGCGTGATTTCATGAATTTTTTTCTATATTATGTTGTAGGATATCCTAATTCATGACCATGTTTAAAATTTCAAAGCATTTCGTCGAAAAACAAAAGAGATATTGAGATTTTTGTTTCAACCAATCAGATTGCAGCGCTTGTGCATGCGCGTGATTTCTTGCTAATTTGACAGTAGCCTAGGTCACGCAAGTCGTTTGACCCCCCACTCAAACGCCTTGGAGCATACTGTAGATAAAATTTTCACCACGGGGCGGCGCTGTTAAAGAACGTTAACTCTAAATTTATATGGCGACTCCGCTGAAAGTCATTAAATGTAAAAAGTAAATAAGCATATACTGTCAAATATTCTATACATTTCTTTTTTTTTTAAATTCAGCAAGTGATTAGAAAGTGTGTAGTTTAACATTTAGACTGATTATTATGTCATCTGCAAACTCCTACACCCGCATACGCACTGTGTTTACCAGATGACTAATGACCTATATAAATACGGCACACTGTAATTTATCTTCAACTTCAAGCATTATTTTCGGTTAAATAACGTATAACAGTGACTTCCCATAACCCGTAGCTAGCACTGCAAATATGTCAAACCTATTTGCTAATTTCTCCAGGTATACTTTCTGTGATGTTTTTTAAAGGAAAGTCGATTCTAAGATCAGCCAAAACTCTGCTGTCAAATGTTTATTTTTGTTCAACCAATCACAGGCTTTATCAAATTCTGGATAAGCCTCGTTATGAAGTAAAAATATTTATAGTGGAATGCTCCTAGACGTTTGGTGTGAGACCATGCATCGATGCAACAAACGTGTAGGTGACCTAGACTAATTTGACAGTGTCATATTATTAACACTATTAATATATCTTTATGTAATGAGTTTCAAAGCATTTCATCAAAAAATGTAAAAGTTATAGCTATATTAAGTATATCAGTCAATTCACTCATTTCACGCGCACGCACGTGCAGGCGTATGCGCGCAAAATGACCTTCGTTCCGCACACCTACACTTCACACCTATTAACCCTAAAAAGCTTTTAGCTCAGTTGGGTGGACAGTTTCTGAGAACACTCGCGGACAAAAAAGTACCGGAGAACAAATAAGAAAAAAAATAATAATAATAAGAAACAGAGTAAAAACAATATGTTCCCAAACTCCGTTTGGGGAACATAATAATAAGAAACCGAGTAAAAACAATATGTTCCCAAACTCCGTTTGGGGAACATAATAAGAAACCGAGTAAAAACAATATGTTCCCAAACTCCGTTTGGGGAACATAATAAGAAACAGAGTAAAAACAATATGTTCCCCAACTTCGTTTGGGGAACATAACAATGGAATTATGCCTGTAATGATATTGTAATTCACGTCAACAAACACATCGAGGATAATGATTTGCCCGTTTATAGAGTAATGCTATGCTACAATTCAAAATTTTGTTTAATTAATGTGACGTCAACATTACGTAACAATCTAATTTTTGTATAGGAAATAAATTGGTAGAGATATGTATATCAATGATAAAATATAATTAAAAATAACAATAATATTAGCTAAAGCTTATTTCTAAAGTCTAGCATTTGAAGTATACGGAAAACTTTTTAAGTTATGTGATTAATTGAAGATTAAAGAGAAATTAAAAGTATAGAGCAATTTGGTTGCAATACCCTCGATAACACTTTGATATTTAAAAAAGAACTTTTCAGTGCTTAGTGGTCAACATAAAGAGAGATTATAAACAATGTGAACAGATGGAGTGACCAATTTGCATTAGGTAAACAAAAACAGGACACTGAAACAACAGAAAGGGAGGCATCGTAAACAAAGGAAAACGAAATTTCCACATCAATTACGAGCACATCAAACATCAAAAGGAAAAGTATAGCGCGGAGAGACATGTTAATTGCATGTACATTGTAACAAACTTTATCGCAACTGAAAGTTATAAAAAGATTCATAGATGTTTAGAATTCCATTGATATGAATGAACATGTGATTCTTTTGTTTATTAATACAAATAGGAATAAAATGCAATTGTTTCTTAAAAATAATCAAATAACAGAAAAAAGAAATAATGAAAAATTATCAGATTTTTTTTTATCAGTACATGAACAGAACCTTTTCTAATAGTTTTTCAGCTGATACGTGTATCATTTGTTATATTTTTCAGTAATTAAAAAAAAATAAACAAACCTTTATGATTTATTTTCATTTGAAAATAAAAATCGTATTTGGTTATCTCTACAGGTAAAGGACTATGAATCATTGCTTATTTTTAAAACCAATAACTCATTAGAATTTGATATATAAATCTTAATCTTTGAAAACGTTTTTTCATAATTAGTGTCACAACTATGATTCTGATTGCCCAAAAGATAACATGATTTATTTTTGTACCTTAATTGCATTTTGTATCAGCAATGGTATACAAAACATCCTTTTTGCTTTGTAACTTTTCGGATTCTTAAAAAAATCCAATAATGATGCATTCATTACTCTTAAGTCAATAAATATATGCCCTTCGTTTATACCATCTTCGATAAAAAATCTCTTATATTTTGCCGGTTGTTTATTTTAAACATAATTATGCTGGATTATTTGTGCTTAAATTCGTCGTATTAAGCCAGAAGTCACCAGGTCTAGCTTCGATAACTTTTTTATTACAATAACAACTCAAAGTTACGTGACTGAACAAACATACAGTGTGGAATGTAATCACCTAGAAAGAATGGGGAGCCATTCTAAAGAAACACCTGTGTATTTTATTGCTGCAATTAGTGCTAATTCATTACCTGAAATATACCAGTATTGAACTTTGTATCTAAATAATGTCTTTGTTTTAGTCGAAAATTGATCATGAAGTCATATTTTACACAACAGAAATCTGAAACTTTTTTCAGTTTTCACTGAATGTATTTGTCACGGATTTCTTTTATAAAATTAAAACAAAGCTTCAACGTGCATTTTCATCATGTGATTGTTTAGATTAATTGAAATCATAAACAGTACTGATACATATACATGTATTAATAAAACAAAAAGTACATATGGATCAGAGCTTTCTAGAGCAACATTTCAATAGAATATTACAAAACATATTCTGCGTTATAACAATAACAATGCAATTGAACTTCATGGCACTTATTCATTTAAGCAAACATCTGTAGCAATTAAACATGTTTCATCAATCATTCCAACTGTCATGTGTACTCAGTTGATCTTGTCTGGAAGCACATACCGGTATTAACCGAGTCGTTATGGATAACCCATGCTTCTCTTGATTTCTACAATATATTTATATGTAGGGTCATGCAGCTTCCTATTCCGATTGGTGATTAACGTGATTAACACCCAACACATGGTTCCTATAACGGGAAATCGTCACGCTTATCTGTAGAAGCGTACATTTGTCATCAGATGTTTTTATCCTGCTGATTGTGCATATCATTATAACCTTATCACCTCCTCTTTAGTTCTTGTCCGTGTTCCACCAAAGAAACTTCCGCGTCGAGTTCGTTTAAAGATGCGCCTTAATTCACGCCGGAATGATCTTCCACACAAAACATAAATAACAAAGTTAATACAGTAGTTCGTATAACTAATGACAGCAAATAACTCCATGTAGGGTCTCATTTTTATAATAATGTATTGTCCAATATGACGTCTGCTCTCATCGGTATAGTATAAGATGATGCTGGTGCAAATGAACTGGGGCAGCATGGTGATAATGAACACAAATCCAATTAACAATAGCATGGTGGTAGCTTTCCTTGTACTGTTTAAAGATCGCGGGCGGCCATTTCCCGCGTTTTTTCGAATGATGTAGATTTCTTGAATAACAACAAAGTTACAGGAAATGACGATGGCACAGGGAAGAGCAAAAAGGAGAACCAAATGATAGCCATACTGATGGAGATAAACATAAAGGGTCAAATATTCCTCTATTGCCGTACATATCCCGTTCACATTTTCCGTAAATAGAATCCGAAAAATCTGCGACAAGGAAAGAATAACAGTTGTTACAGATACGAGTATTGCTACACTATTTCTGCGATGGACGAACTTCCGTCTAAATGGGTAACATACGGCATGTACGCGCTCTATTGAAAGACAAACGACCAACCATGAAGACACAAGAAGAAATACATATTTTAAAAAGTTATATAATTTACATATACTGTTTGGAAAGTCACCATAAAGACTGGTTTTACTTCCAGATTTGTAGAAAATCATTTCGTCAATCAGGTCAACTTGATTAATCACCAAGTTTAGACTGTCGAAGATGGCGAGCGTACAAAGAAGCTGACTGTACGATTTCTTTTGCAGTCTTTTTGAACATCCCATAACCATGAATGATAGACTGTTTCCGATAAGTCCAGCTACAGTGATAATCGGGGTCGCAATCTGCTTTACCCAGAATCCCCATATTGGTATTTCCGGCACATTCACTGAAAATAAAATTGTCATAGATAAATTTATTATTAACCATATCTATAAGTATTATTACCGGCCGCCAGGAGGCGGTCGGTTATTTGATATGAAAGTTTTAGGTCGACGTGCGTTTCTGCGGAGTTAGAACAATTTGAATAAAAAATATGTAACATTCATGAAATAGAATATTAAGAAAGAGTGTCTAAATGTTTAACAAAAAACGCATATAATCATAAAATAAAATTTTTATTAAAAAAAATGGGTTAAATGTTTTATCCAATCCTGATTGACAAACTCCGACGAGACTGAAGTGCGGAGAAATAAGCAGACATGTTGGGCATAGTCTAAAGCAAAGACCGCGTTATATTCATGTTTAAACAAATTTACTTTCTCTACTTCAGCAGGATTTGTTGTATATATAATTTAAACCGACGTGTAAATATAAACATACAGTGTACATTTAATACGGAATTTTTTCAAAAATTTGACTAAATCTTAATTTATTATCAGACAGAATATTAGATTTTTTTTTCCAACAGACAAGGATAAATCGCGTTTTACAATATGCCAAGCCTTTTCCCGCCACACCTCACACCAAAACAAGATAGAGAATAAATGTAGTGGCGGATCTAGAGGGAGTTTGGGGAACATCCTCTGAGCGAGCGAGGAGCCCCACACAGTTGTTACGATTTTATTTAGGTAAGTTTAAACGTTAGTTTAACTTTTAATGGTTAAATGTAAAAACCTACTTTAACATCAAACTTGCTCCAGAGTTCGTCTGTACCAAATAAACTGCGTGCAGGGACGCAGAGGACGATGAGTAAGTTGCTTATACATAGTACATGTAGCAATGTACATGTAATATGTACTGAAGAAAATCCTGGAATGTCGCAGTCAAATGTTTAATGTCACAGGGATATATTAATTAACAGATAAATATGAAAATTCAGTTTCTAATTGTTTCATGAAAGAATCAATTAATTGGTTTGCGGCCGATTTTTGACGCTTGCGTCAATATGTTTCTTGTAAACTTGATTGAAACACACTTTCTCAAATCATAATAGGATAAAGAAATGACCATAAAAACTTACATAAAGATGTCGTATTATCTGTTAAATTCCACTGCATTGCATAGGATTCTTCTGAAACGCGTAGCGCATTCACCTATAGAAAAAAAAGCAGATATACACAAGCTTAAATTCCAATCCAGCACACAATTCTTATATAAGTAAAGCGAAACTTTTATACGTACTATCGATACAATACCAGGAAACCTACAAAAGGTCCTGCTTCGTTGAATGACAAAAGTTGCCTAGTCTCCCATTTTTTACACTGATACTGAAAGTTTTTCCTTTCAACAAAATGGTGAGAAGATGTTTTAACATAGTATGGCACAGCATACTAAAGTAGAATAAAGGGTGAACTATTGTATTGAATACATTATTACACATGTGTAGAATGTTCGAATCAAATCATTAAAAACGTGCCAAAAATGAAAATACATTTATAAATTAATCATATACTAAATATAAAAATATAGTTGTTGTTTGACTGGTTCGCTAAAAAACCCAAATCTGTAAATACCGATGAATGAATGTATAAATTCCGTAATATGGTCAAGATAAAAAAAACAACTAGAGGTATTGTGAGCGATGAGCTCACTAAATGATACCCCCCGCCTCCATATAGTTATAATGGCAAAGTCCATGTTTTGCTGTGGCCGGAAAACCCAAAATATGTGTCGGATCAAAAAGTAAAATAGGAGGTGCACAATGGCAATATGTAATAAAGATTCTGTGAAAGTTTCATCAAATTTCATTCAGTGGTATGAGAGGAGTTGCGGATAAGAGATGGGTACCCAAAAGCGTAACAGACGGACGGACGGACAGACGGAAGGACGGACAGACGGACAGACGGACGGACGGACGGACAGACGTACAGACGGACGGAATTACCGATTACTATATACCCTCCCGCTTTTCAAGCGGGGGGTATAAAAAAGTTTTAGGATAATGTTCTGATTTTATCAATTGAAAATGGACATGTTGTTTATGATGAGACAGATAATGCTGTACCAGCTTAAAGTATATACGAAGTTAGAAAGTGAGTTAACAAAAATTGATAAAACATATCTTGTAGATGCAAACTTGTAGATTTAGTACGGAATAACTCTAATATTTGTAACAGTGTATTGTTGTCTTGTTTTGGAACCTTAAGTACATACTTAGCGTACTCTACCTACTGATGATTTTTAAAGATAGTCTAAATTTGAAATCATAGCACTCTTACATGTTCTTAGCCAAAAAATCAGCATTTGTTACGAGGAGTTTGGAACAGGTATCAAATGATGAAAATTCTTGCATTATTCAAAGGAAAAATTACAAAGATTACTAAACATAAATTCGAAATACATTTTTTTTATTCAAATTTGTTTTAGAAGAGGTCTACAAAACCATATATAGACATTAAACGTATTGCACACAGGTCTTTTATTTAGTGGAACTCTTCAACTCTAAGGAAGAAGCCAATAAAGTTCAAACTACATTGCGTTTGTCCTTAAACTGATAAAAAGAATTTATATATGACTGAGAGAGGAGCTAATCCATGTGTTTTGCAATTTATTGATAGTCTTGTTAACAGATAATGTTCAGTGGATGATTTTTACGTCCAATTCGAGATTTTTTTCATAGTGACATACCTAAAATGAAAAAAGTGAACCGATCCCGGCGGTTCCTAGAATTTAGCATTTTTTTCAGAAATGAAACGGTTACTAAGAAAAAATAAACATGAACAACCGGTATGACATAAAAATGCTTGAGGAACGAATGAACACAGGCATTTTTATGCATAAAAGTTAAAATAAATATAACAGTCGGCAAATTAGGACAGAACAGTACACTTTCTTATGCAAATAACATGCCGTGTTTTATAACCATCATTTTTCTGGAATCATGAAAAAAGAGTCGTTCTATTGAGCAAGTTGATTAGTTTTTGTGATGGCCTAATATAGATTTTAGCACATTCAGCAATGATATCCTATTCATTCCCTTTTGCTTCCTATTTTGGAACCATAAAATATTGATCTGACTTTTTTGCTGTCCTAGCTTTCAAAGGATTATAATGGTCGTAAACATGGTAAATAATGAACGATGCTCAAAATTCTGGAAATTAATTGCTATCAACATTCAAAAGGATAAAGAAAGGAAACTAAGATCTATGATCAAAAGGCAAAGACGTGAATACTATTAGTTATCCAGGTTCAATCAAGGGTGTACGGGGATTTACCCCGGGTTGTATTCCATACACCCTGAGGCCGAAGGCCGAAGGGTGTATGGAATACAACCCGGGGTAAATAACCGTACACCCTTGATTGGACCTGGATAACGAATTTATTTCCTTTGTACCCATAAAAATGCTTTGTAAACATGATTTTTAGCTTTTATCATGGAGAATGTATACATTGTGACGTCACGTTTTATTTACACCCGGCTCAAGTCGGGTGCACGGATATTTACACCCGACTTTGTAACCAATCAAAGCTCGTGTTACAAGCTAGATAGGAAATAAAATCTATTTACGTTTTTTCAATGCCTTTTCGGAGACAGTTGTTCACAATCTCAACTTTGTATTATTTATTAACACTGATGAATATGATGTATAAAGTATATTTTCCTATTACTTTGTAAATCATTTGAATTACCCTTATTTATTCTAATGAATCATAGTCCCTATCTTAATTAGAATTTTAGATAGACCGAGTGATAACGTTTGGCATTAAATCTACCAAATACATGTAGTTCAATAAAAATCATTTTGAATTGTTATCATTTAAGTGGTATTTTATGAAACTAATGCTGTCATCTGTAAGAATTAACAACAGAATAGAAACAGATGTCCCTTTTGGTGTGTTTGCTCCCATTAACATGCCCTTGTGTAATGACATTTGAATCACAAAAATGTCCAGAGAGCAGTGACATTTTCAGATCAGGAGCAGTATATTGCTCAGGGTACTAAAAATCCTTGCTTTTTCGAGCATGAAGCTATAAAAATTTATCATTTACATTGTTATTTTTCTAGACTCCCTGTGGATAGGATTCTGTAGTAATACATAGCTTTTATTTTACGAAATCTCATTGATGTTTTCTTTTTGATTATCTCAAATATGTGGTTGTGCCTCTGATTTCTATCCACTGATCCATCCTGATTAAAGATCCCGAACTATTTCAAATTGTGTAAGCTTCCCTGGACGTAATTAGTTTATTAGGTAACACGGAAAATAAGTTTGCTGTTAGGAGAATTCAAGGAAGAAATATTTAGGTCAAATGATTTCTATTTTCAAAGGCTACTATAGTATGTTGCTCTTTTTAACAACCTGTAAAAATGGCTCACAATATTCAATTTCTTTATAAATCAATGGAAACTCCGAGGATCAATCCGAGAGAAAAAAAATAAAATGGATACTTCTTACTGGTGCATTTTAAGACAGATTTTCTTATTAGCAAGTGCAAGTTTCCTGTTTAAATACACTTATTTCATCTCGCGTGATATTGTTGATTTTCATTCACTTTGTTAATAAGTGGGAATATACATTGAAATGCCTTTGCATCGAAGAAGAAATCTGATGTTTCTTCAATTTTTTTTCACTCTGATCAATTGTGAAAGTATAAAGCTTAAAAACAGAAGTCTCCCTCTCGTTTGTTGAAACCTATTTTCAACAAAGAAGAAGGTATGGTTTTCGCTTTATTGTGCCCTAAAAATGTAATGTCATCAAAAAGTCTTAAAACTGGCTAAAATATTAGTAAAGTACATGACTGTGATAAATCAGGAAAGAATATGGCACAAAGGATTACCATTCTGCAAATATGACGTAATCAATGTGATGCATTTCTGTATTTTTAACAGAAAAAGCCTCAAATCAGCCAATTTCAAGGGTAATTTTCCTTTAGAAAATAGTGTCCACAGCTGTCACCTACTTTTATTTTTTGATATGTTGTGAAAAAAAAAACAATGAAAAAATCACATATCTTAAAATCTCTGTGGGCGATGCATGTGGACAACATTTTCTGAAAGAAAATCTATTGAAAATTGGCGTCTTCTGCAACTTTTGAAGAAAATACCGGAAAATGCACATGTTTATAGCGTCACAATTAGTATTTCAAAATACATGTGAGAAAAATGGTTTGTATGATTTTTCTGCATGGAATTTCACTGATTCAGAAAGCATTAGAATTCATCTTTTACACCAGTTTCATTTTTTAGAAAATCACAGGGCAAGATTTGTATGGAAACCATCCCTTGTTCTTTATATATGTTTAACCTATAAACAATGTACGATTTAAATGCTCTCATTCACAGAGCTGTATGCAGTTTTATCCTTTATAAAGTAATCTTAAAGTTACATAGAGAAATAAAGAAAATGCAAAAATATAAAACTAAAATCGAACGTTTTATGAAAGGTCGTTGGAAAGGCGAAGACATAAAAAAAAAAAAGAAAGGGTAAGAAAAATTCAAATTAAATTAAAAATAAATCATAATAATTAAAGTTGAAAAAATCAAAATTTAAGTCGTACAATCCAAGATTAAAACTGCAATTTTCAAGTTTAAAGTTTAACCCCCCCCCCCACATTTAAAGTTGGAAAAACAATTTAAAATCGAAGTTCCAACTTACAAATTGAAATTTCCAACTTTAAAGTTGGAATAATCACCTTTCAAAAGCACTTATTTCTGAAATAGAGCCAAACGGGACATGATTGTCTTAACACATGTATGAATATTCCTGTACTTTTTTGAAACACAAAAACTTTATAAATACCTGGCCAAGGGATCACTTAGTCACAAACAGCTTTTTTTCTGAAAGAACACATTTACTGAAATTTCCTATGGACTATATGAAAGAATCAAGCGATTTTAATTTGCACGAAAAGGGTGTTTCCGTTAGTGGCTTACAGTATACGCTGATGGTTAATGATTATTTATAGCCTTGTATTAGCTTTGGTATTGTTACCTAATTGTCTAAGCAGAGATTATATAACATTTCTTCAATAATCACTAGCAGTATTCTTTTCATCAATTTTAAGCTGCATGATTTCAGTAAGGCATGAGTATTAAATCTCATGCAACGAATAAAGCATTTTGTGGTATTAAAACATATCATTTTCATTAAA